TGTACACACAAAATAAAGATACTTTAAGGAGATTTTGTGCAGCTAACACAGTTTTTCCAGAATTTGTGTGTACAGAACAAAGCAGAATTAGCAAAAAGAAAAAATTGTTCGAGGATTTGCAGAGCACTTCCAAATAGTACGCAAAAGCAGTTACCGTGCTCTCTACTGCGGTTGTTTGAGCTCCTCTACATATTCGAAGGACAATAAATCTTCAAAAGCCATTGTCCGAATATTATTGACCGCAACTGTAATTGCTTTCATATACCCCTGTTCTTTGGGCCAAAGAAGAGTTTAATTCCAAATCTTCTACGCGCCTCTTGCTACCCTACTTTTTCAATCAATAATTTAGCTGTCCTTGCTGGAATTCCGAAGAAAAATGAAGCAAACTTTGTTCCATTAATAATTCTAGATAAGAACTGTATTTTTGCAATTTTAGGGGGCCCACGGTCTACAATTTGACGGTGTTCCTGCCCTATTGCTGAACAAAACTGACAAGGTTTCCTGATAAGAGCCTAATGACATCCGCAGTTGAAACACAGTTTTCGAAAGTTTTCCATTGATAGCCTAATTATGCCAACGAAGTAAAAATCGGAATTCTTGAAATTCTCCACAAGCTTTTCATAAATAACCAATAAGGGAAGACCGAAGATATGAAAAATGGAAGACTGTAGAAGCCAGAATCAAATACAAAAATGAAGTCATTCTGAAATGACCATTCATTCAATTATGTCCGATTTTCACCTTAAATGATCAACTGTAAGGAAAAATAACTGCACTTACATCATAAAGCAGTTGTGAGAACGTTTTTCTTATATTTTGCTGACGGAACACAAGGAATTCCTTGTCGGCCGCTTCTTCGGCTGCTCTTCGCAGGCAATTTCCAGTAGTCTGAGAAGAAGCTCTTCTTTAATGTTAGCATGTTCTGTTTAAAAGGCAGCAAGGTCTTAAGACCTATTACTTATCTCTACGCTTACCTCAAATGAAAGTTTGGTGTCGCATGCGCCGTGCACATAGCTGTGGAGCAGCCGCGCTTGACGCGATCTAAAATTGGCTATTTACAAAGAGGAAGTAAATAAAGACCTCGTTTGGCAAAAAGCCTCAAAAATGCTGTTCTAATCAGAAACAGAGTCGAATAACTTTGTTGCTAAATCTTATTCTTATTATAGTAGTACAGAATGCGTCAAGGTTTACTCTAGTACTACATAAAAGGTTGTGAAAAAAACAAGAAATTTCCGAAGGAACAAAAAATTCTATATAGCATACAGAAGATTTTTGCCTGAAACAGCCTGATCTAAAACCTGGAGGTCTAACCAGAGCCTCGATAGCTCAGTTGGGAAGGTCTTAGACTGAAGGTTTAAAGGTCGCCGGTTCCGTCTTGGTTCGAGGCAACTTTTGCATAGTTTTCCCTTGCTCGTATAGGTTGGTTTAGAAACCGCAGAGCTGTTGCGAACGTCATTAAACTTCCAGCAGGAAAAAATTGAGTTATATTCCTGCTTCGACTTCTTTTGCCACAACTTATCGCATCATCTTCAACGCTGAAAAGTTTCTATGGCATTCAAGAACTTCAAACATGTTTTTCTTAATTTTTAACTAACCAACTTTTTTCGAGACAATTAGAAATAGCATCCAAGAGGAGCATGATGTTCCACAAGATTTATTTTCCGTG